TTCTCTGGTTTGAGGCATATTTACGTTGGAACCTCATCTTTACTTCACATGGGAGGCGGAATACTGTATCTATTTTAATATGGATGTCGCTTATCCCGGTCATCATCATCATCATCATCATCATCATCATCCATTGCATAGACTGTTCACTCATAACATTGACTTAGTATCATTATCGTTAGGCTCGTGAGACGAGGGATATCTATATGCGTTTACTCACGCTTGCTAAACAGACACTTATTACAGAACTTTCGTTATCAGATATCTGATAACTACGTTTCCCCTAGGCGTGTAACTCGGGAGACTGCATGTGACCTCATTTATTGTTGTCCTGTTACAAAGGTTATAGGTTATGACACTTATCATTGAATCACATCAGTGACTTGTAGCTGGTCACCCGGTGACCTGCATGAATAGATCTTAGAAACCCAGTTTCCTCCTGATAATGTCCCGCTTCACCTTTGTGCCCTTGAATAAATGGCCGGGGCAGTCTTGTCACGTAACAATCATAATGTGGACACGCAAACCCACAGAGACCTTGGTATTGTTTCCCCCCAAAAAATGGATTGAGGTTAATATTAATTATTTTGGGGGCTCTTCGTACTGTTATAGTGCAATCCATTTCAATACTTTTATTTAAAATAGTGCAAACCATTTCAATACTTTTATTTAAAATTTCATTTATCTAAAATTCAATATGTTTCCAAGTGCACCAAAATCCTACACTTACTTACTTACTTACTTACTTTGGAGATTTAACGTGCGCTTTCCGACTCATGCGTATTTCGCACACGGGCCCGGCCAGGCCATTTAATGTGTTTCCGAAAGGGGCGAAAGTGGTGTGTGCAACCCAAGAGGGGGCTTTAGGGGTTGCTTATATAGAATTTGGGAATTTTGAGATTTGGAATAGATGCCGATGGGGTTGGGGAGTAGAACTAAGGGAGCTGGGTATGGTGGATGTTTGTTTGTTTATGTGATTTTGATTTGGTAGATTATAGTGTTTTTAGATGCGTTTTATTAGTTCCGTTTTGATTAAGAATACGCCTAAGGCCTTGAAGTTTTCTAGTTTATTTTGTGGGTTTAGTATTGCTTCTAGAGTGAGAGCCTTGTTTAGATTGAGGGTGGTTTGTAATGCGGTTCGATGTGTTAGGTAGTGTGTGCAGTGGATGAGTGCGTGTTCTGGGGTTTCTAGTTGTTTGCAGTGTGGGCAGTTACCTACACCCTTTGTCTGGTTAATATATTCAGCAAACATTCGGCGTATCTCCTCTACTCGGTTACATCCCATTAGTAAGACATCCCATTAGTGAGACATCCCATTAGTGAGACATCCCATTAGTAAGACATCCCATTAGTAAGACATCCCATTAGTAAGACATCCCATTAGTGAGACACCCATTGTAAGACAGTGGAGTAGGTGGGATTAATTAAACAAACACAGCCAGTCTACCCACTTAACAATGGTCACAGCCCATGATTAGCGGATTAGTTAATAAGAGTGGGCCAGTAATTCTGTTTGAATATTCTCAGGAAATAAATGAGTTAGGAGCTAGTAGTAGCTTACTTAAAAAGTTGAGTCGATGTTTTGTTAAAACTTACTTATTACACATATAAATTCCCCCTTGTCTGTGAACATTTCATAATGAAGCTGGCGAAGCTAGCTCTAGACAAAGCCGATATACAGTCTATTCCCTTTAGTAAACTAGAGATAAAAAGCAAAACCAAAGCCTCCATAGCAGAAAGATGGCAAACCCAATGGGACGCAAGTAAGATCGGCAGATGGCTATACAAAATTCAACCCAAGGTCCAACAAAAGCCAAACTCATACTCAAATGAAAGGAAAATTGAAATTGCAGACTCGGTCACAAAAAGCACTATGACAAGATTTGTTTATCTTGCAATCAGGATGAAACCATTGATCACGTGTTACTAGAATGTCAAGACCATGCCCCAGTCCGGGCTAGGTTAAAACAAGAATTGCAGTTAGATCCGCTATCTGTCATAGATCTCTTAAAGGCAAGAGATACAATAGCGAAGTCCAAACTAACTCTATTTCTGAGAGATGGACAGCTACTCGAACGTATATAAACAGAGCAGCCAAGGATAAAAATGAAATCATATCAATATAAGAAAATAGAAATCATATCAATACAACTACAGAAATTATGTGAACACCAAACTCACAATAGATATGTGTACCCTACTCACACACAGGAGTCCCAAAGAGGGACAGGTCAGCCGAAATTGCCTAGGCAGAAGGCGACCTCTTAAACACTTAATGCAACAACAACAACGAACATTTCATGCACAATCATGGCAGGTTTGCAGCAGGTTGAGTTCATTACCAGTCAAAGAGGTACTCTCCAGGTCCTCTTTCAGAGATATCTCCACTACAAGAACAAAGTAAGACAAACTGGTATTCATTGGCGATGTACCGTTAAGACCTGCATTGGCAAATGTACAACAGTTGGAAATTTTGTTAGAAATTTCACTGTACACACCCACCCACCAGAAGACACCAGCAGAATCCAGTTCCTTTGCAGCTTAAGGAAGAGAGCAAGAGAAGAACCAACTACTCCTATGCCAGCCCTCTACAACGACGAGGTCTTGAGACATGATCCGGAGGCTGCGGCTATATTTCCCTCCTTCAGCTCAGTCGGCAGCGCAATGTACAGACACCGCAGTCACACCACCCCGAAACTCCCTAAAACCAGAGCTTTGAGACTTTGAAGATGCTACCATTAGAGCCCTCCGGACAGAGTTTTAATGTTCAGACATCAAGGGGTGTTTCTTCCACTTTACCCAGGCGATTTGGCGGAAAACACAGGAGCTTAATTGGCTCCATGAACCAGTCTCCCGATGTACCCAATGCTGACGAATTCAACGACTACATAGTCACAAACTTGGTGGATTATGAAGCCAGATTCCCTCTTTCGCCGTGGAACCATCACCAGACATTCGGCCCAAGGACCAACAACAACCTGGAGGGTTTCCACAGTCGCCTCAATGCATCACTGAATCATCGTCATCCTAATCTCTACAGGTTCATCGAGATCATCAAGAAGATTGAGAAATCTGCGAAGACCAAGCTATCTCAGTTAGACCTAGGTGCAGCTCCACCAGCAAGAAAGCGTGTGTACAAGGAGATTGACAATCGACTTTCCAGACTGAAGGATCAGCTATCCCAGGGTGTCAAGACACCACTCCAGTTCTTGGATGCTGTTGGCAAACTTCTGAAGATGGATTAAGGTTGTGTCAGTGTGACAACCTCGATGTGAACTGTGATGTGAACTGTGATATTAACTTTAACTGAACTCTAAGTGGTGAATATGTTAAAACAATGGATTTAAGGGATGGATGAATTAAAATGTTGAATGAAATAAAGTAAAAGAGGGTATCAAGCATCTTGAGTCATTTCTTTTGTCTATAATAAGACAAGTCCATTTTCATGACAGGGGTTAATTACCTGATTAACATGTGCAACCAGGTATGACATTGTTGTTTTAAGGTGTCTCACAACTGGGCTGTCTTACTAATGGGAGGAGACCCTCTAAGCATAAGCCACCTCCAGGCAGAACCCTTAATCTCGAGCACTATCTATAAATGTCTATCAACACCTCCTCACGTCGCCGGATCTTACGTTGGTACATGTACGTGGTTCACTGGCCTTGCCCCACGTTATGTAATACCTGTAAAACCTGACACGGCACCCGGGGACATATTGACCACTCGGTCCGGGTGTCCGTTCTGTCACATTATAATCAACCTGTACACTTTCGACTTATTTCAACCTGCATCAATAAATATGGCTGCAGTCTTCAACCCTTCAACCCTGAGTTTTGTCTTCCGTCTTCACTCTGAACTACCATCCGAGGGCGAAACAGCGCCCTTGCACAGTACTAAGACATATGTTTGTTTGTTTGTCTGTTGTTTAATGCCGCACTGAGCAATATCCCAGCTTTATGACGGCGGTCTGTAAATAATCGAGTCTGGACAAGACAATCCAGTGATTGACATCATGAACATCGATCCACGCAATTGGGATACGATGACATGTATCAACCAAGTCAGCGAGCCTGACCATCCGATCCCATTAGTCGCCTCTTACGACGAGCATAGTCACCTCTTACGGAAAGCATGGGCTGTTGAAGACCTATTCTACCTCGGATCTTCACGGGTTACTAAGACATATGAAACAAATTAGACCTTCTTGAAACAATTAAAGACCTTATTATATCTTACACTGTAGATTCTTTGTACTTAGAAAGCAGTACCTAAAATAATTGATGTGACGGACTGAGGTTCGATTTCCAAATGCTTAACCAGACTGTTATATCAGAAATGCAATGTTTAATGTCAACATGACAACAAATTGGATCTATATAAATAAATGTTTTGTGATTTGGTATTATAAATGGAGGTGTCGTATAGATACATGTGTATGTGTATCGAGAAACTACTCAGTAATGTGCAACCTATTGCTTGTCCACACAGTTTTTAATTCCGGAAGCAGAGATAACAACGGGGGCCTCAGCCTCTATCAAAATGTTCAAAATGATTAACGTAGTGGCCTTTTGCGCGAAAGACGATAGTACGTAGTAATCGACTAGCGTTATATAGTATCTACCAATACCGTATTTGATCGTGAAAGAAAACCAATGTAAATATTTTGACATGTTCTGCATGAGGAGGAGGTTTATACGAGCTGTCCCGCTGTCTCTTTGGCACACGTGTATTCATGGCTTATTTTTAAAACTTAAGGTATATGTATTCACTTAGTCCTGCACCATGACCGTGGAATATATTTATTTTATGAAAAAAGAAATCTAGATATGCATAGAAAAGCAAGTCTAGCCAGCTCAAGCTAACTCTATTCCACTCTGAAATCAGATTTTTTAAATTTTTAGAGTCAAGAAGGATATTGTGTAATATAAGATTTCAGAGACTAAATGTTAGTCTAGTATTCACTGTGCCGACTTTATATCTGCACAAGCAAAAGCGAGATCTGGTTCGAGCTGAATTGATCGCACGTGACTCGTTTCGAGTCAGGTGATATATATTGTGCTGCTGAGCGAAACTGGTTGCATAGATCTACAAGGAAGCAACATGGACGGACTGTTGTTGTGCACGTTGTTGACTGTGACACTAGCGGCAGGTGCCCGATACGACCCAACATGGGAGTCACTGGACACGAGGCCCCTCCCGGCCTGGTACGACGAGGCCAAGTTTGGCATCTTTCTTCACTGGGGGGTGTTCTCTGTTCCAAGCTTCGCAGGTGCTTGGTTTCAGGAGTATTGGCGAGAAAACAGAACGGACGTTGTGGAGTTTATGAAGAATAACTACAGGCCAGGTTTTACCTATGCTGACTTTGCCCCACAATTTACAGCTGAATTCTACAACCCCGACGAATGGGCGGAGATATTCAACGCCTCGGGGGCAAGGTGGGTTCATCAGCACTAGAAGTCAAGTCAACCTACGAACCAGCCAACCGTATACAACTGCATGGTCTATTATTAGTATCAGTGTTATTTCATCCTGCAGGCCTTTGTCATGTTTGTTTTTTTACCTTCCACGACACAGTGACTGTGTTGGCCATGTACGGAACGGCTTCTGTCAAAACAGTGAGCGTCAAAACGGCACAACATTTGAGAAAAATAAACCAAATTATCAGGCTTTGGTACATGATATTTAAATAATTGAATATTTTATATTGTGTGATACGCAAATGGAGGTTTTTCACCTCGGTACAAAACTAATACGATCCTCTCCTTGGAAACATGTCCGATTGTAGGGTTAGTGTAGTTGAGTCACTAATGTAATATGGTCGCCACATCAACAATACCCCGTTCAGCTGCAGTTTAACAAATCCAGTGTTAGGACACAACAGACGTATCTCACAGTTACCACAGTTGTCATAAATGTCATGAAGACACTTGACAACAGCCCAGTATTGAGTTTATAGTTATATAAGTGAAAACAGCCTAATCGAAACTGACAATTGAAGGGAAGTAACTCTTCATACCCTGTCCTTGTTTCCTGGACCTTCATTGTTGTGAGACACGATCACATGACAGGCAGCTGTTCACAGGACACACACTGAAATGTAGACATTTTCTATAAGGCCAAAAAACAAACTTCCCGTGTTACAGGTAACATGTCCCAATATAATTATATGGGTTGGTAGGCAGGGTTTTTATTATTTAATTTATAATGTTGATATTTAAAAGAAATAGTAAGTTTAGAAATGACAACAGTTGCTATTTATCTCAAGTTTGTAAGTCATTATGATTATTGCAACAGCGATATGCTGATACCGATTTATTTCCGAATGTAAAATATGGGTTTCATGACGGCTGTTATTAAACTGATAATAAAAACAATATTTGGTGAAACCATTTGTCTGTCAGGTTTTCTTGAACACGTATTTTCTTGCCTATAAGAGTGAGTGAGTTCTGGTTAACGCCGCTTTTAACAGTATTTCAGTTATATCACGGCGTGTCAGCTTAATGTGGGAGGAAAGCCCAAGGTGATGCAGGTCTCAGACGTTTACCACTTCGGTGAAACCTACGAGCACGGGTATGGTGCTGACCTAGAAACATAATCCGGGCGAACCGGGATTCGTACCCACAATCATAGGTTTCTGGCGTGCCCAAGGGACGCAACCCTGCACAGCGAATCGCGGCGCGTAGTGTTTGAATACGGTAACTGTGCGTGTGATGTTCGAGATATATAGGATTCTAGTGCAATGCGAACACTAACTAATGTCATGTTATATTTTAGATATGTTGTTCTGACAACGAAGCACCATGAAGGATTCTGCAACTGGCCAACCAAATACTCGTTCAACTGGAATGCCATGGACGTTGGCCCTCACAGGGACGTTGTGGGTACGCATTGCTAATAATACACTTTGTATTATGCTAAAACATATATGATTTTGCTCTGGTGTTACAGACTAGAAGTCGAATGAGAATTTTTTTTTTATCTTCCCCCACACATAAAGAATGAGTAAAAAAAAACCGACAACTCCCAACCGCTGAATCAATCATAGAATGAATGAGGTTCAACAGTATTTCAGTTACAGTAAACTACGGTTATAACGAACTCAAAGCGACCACTTATTTTAGTTTGTGATAACCGTAGTGAAACTAGAAACATGGTCAAGGCGAGTCTGGGATTCGAACCCACTAAGGGACGGAACTGCATAGCGAACTGCGACGTCTTTGACGAATGGCCATCCATGCTCTCATGAGACAATGAGACTAGAACAGATTGTTGTCTTATTGCAATGTATTTATCATTTGATGGACTTGGAAGTGAAACCGGAAAATGTGCCATCCTTGCCGCTGAAGAAGACTATTTGCACCTACCACCAGTCGCTGTGATAAATGAACATGAATGATCACAGTAACACCAATATCCTTCACGACAGGACAGTACAAACACTCCTATGTATATCTTGTGTTCCAGGTGACCTGGCCAACTCGATCAGGAAGAAGACGACCATCAAGTTTGGTCTCTACCACTCGCTGTTCGAGTTTGTCAACCCATTGTTTCTTCAAGATCAGAAGAACGAATTCAGAACTCAAGACTTCGTCAGGGTAGGTCCGGTGGACATTTCTTCCTCAGGTCTTTCACATGCCGTCCTTTACATTTGACTTCTTAATATATGTTCTGCACAATGGTCAATGTAACTTGGTACATATTATTTACATGTCAAACAGACCCGTGAAGATCCGGGGTAGAACAGGTCTTCAGCAACCCATGCTTGCCCTAAAAGGCGACTATGCTTGTCGCAAGAAGCGACTAACGGGATCGGGTGGTCAGGCTCGTTGACTTGGTTGATGCATGTCATCGTATCCCATTTGCATGGATCGATGCTCATGATGTCAATCACTGGACTCTGTCCAGACTCGATTTTTTACAGACCGCCGTCATAAAGCTGGAATATTGCTGAGTGCGGGTTATACAACAAACAAACAAACAAACATGTCAAACAGTTCATTATTGATATCATACCCAAATCATTGCTTCCAGATCAAGACAATGCCTGAGCTGTATGAGCTGGTGAACATGTACAAGCCTGAACTTCTTTGGTCAGATGGTGATTGGATGGCACCGTCTTCCTACTGGAACTCTACAGAGTTCATAGCCTGGCTGTACAACAACAGGTAAGAAGTCGCCTATTTGTATCAGTAAAGAACATTCACTGTGGGTTAACATAGGGCCCCAGCAACATATGTCGCTCGTAAGAGGCGACATAATGGAATGGGTGGTCAGACTCCGTAACCTGTTGAGCCCGTATCACCGTTAGAGGTATACTGCTATCGTTGTTCATAATATAATTCACTGGGTTGTCTGGCCCAGTCGCCGATATTTACAGGCTTTCGTCATAGCAAAATATTAAATATGTGGTAAAAAAATAAACAATTTAAAAACAAACGCCGATCGTGTTTTCGTTTTGCAGCATTTTATTCATTTTATAGCTACTGCGCTTAGTTGACAGTTGACGTCACCAACTTTCAGAGAGTTCTTGCAGTTCATATGTATTATTTATCTGATAAATTATAAATGAATGCAAACTCCACTTAAAATGACTATACGTTTTTAAAAGCGTTTAAATATTTGTCTTATTTTCTCCTAGTCCCGTGAAAGACTCTGTGGTGGTCAACGACCGATGGGGAAAGGATGCTTGGTGCAAACACGGAGATTACTACACCTGTAGAGACAGGTACAACCCAGGTAATCCAATTAGCAATACTACGTGTACATACCAAGGCCGCCGTGGAGGTAATGCATTTGTTTATACCCGTGTACATGTTTGCCTCTCCAGGTGTCCTGGCAAAACACAAGTTTGAGGATGCTACCACTATTGACAAGGTGGCATGGACATTTAGACGTAACGCCAAGCTGAGTGACTTCAACACCATAGAAGAACTTCTTGAACAGCTTGTATCTGTTGTCAGGTAAACGCATGGTTGTACCCGTACTCCAGTCTGTTCTATGTAGCATTTTTGTCACCACGTGTGGTCAGTGGACGTGTAAACCATGAAATCGAAAAAAAGCCATGTTAATTTGAAAGTGTTATTTTGGTCATCACCCTTTCCCTGTATTGCTTACGACATTACGAAAGTAGGACTTTTTTTTGAAGTGGAGAGTATTCAGACTATGGCTGTTTCATCAACCGTTGCCTTCCTCGGGAAAAGGTCCCCTGTGTTCCATGTTGAGCACCGCATGGTTTACATTTAGTCTGTCTTACAGACCCTGATACAAATATATATCAAATACAGCCCATGCAAGTCTATAATGTTTGGCAAGTCTAGATCACTGCAGTGTCAATGAAAATGAAGAGAGTCACTGGGCTCCTTTTTAATATATTTTTATTAAGATAACTGAACAACTGTTTTTTTTATGTACAATATGTTCATTTCAGAGACTAGATGTTAGTCTAGGTTTACATTGTGTTAGCTGAATGTTGCGGTGCTAGTCTGTCTCACAGTCCGTGAACCATGTTATTTTCCCTTCCGCCCTGCCCTGTGTGTAATGCTAGCCCTAAATGAGGCAAGTTTTAAATTTTCAACAGATTCTGAATATCCCATCTAACGGGGTCTCGTGTTCAATTTTAGTGTAATTGCTTGTTTCTATCAAAATTATATATTTTCACTGAGCAGCCGTTGGTCTAATGGTGTGCCATCACATCCAAATGGTGTGTGTCGCTGTTCATGGTATCAACCACTGGTTTGTCTGTCCAAAACTCGTTTATTTACATGCCACTCTCTTAACGCCTTAATGCACTTTTGGAATGTGTGTGTGAGTTAAACGACTGGTATTTCTGTTTAATTATGACAGATATAGGTTTATGTACTCCGTGAGAGAGCGAGTTAATATTATCAGGACCCGTGAAGATCCGGGGTAGAATAGGTCTTCAGCAACCCATGCTTGCCGTTAAATGGCAAGTCTGCTTGTTGTAAGAGGTGACTAACGAGATCGGATGGTCAGGCTCGCTGACTTGGTTGATGTATGTCATCGTATCCAAATTGTGTGCATTGATGCTCATGATATCAATCACTGAAATGTCTGGTCCAGACTCGATCATTTACAGACCGCCGTCATATAGCTGAAATATTGCTGAGTGCGGCGTTAAACAACAAACAAAACAACAACAACAGCATATTATCAGCAATTTTTCAGCTATTTGCTGAATTTGGAAATGAAATCCTAGAAGAAGTTTAATAAAGTTTTTATAACTACATTAATGAAGATGTAAAATAACAATTTATAACAGCATCGGTGGCAACTTCCTGCTGAATGCTGGCCCCACCTCTGACGGTATGATCGGTCCGATATTTGAGGAGAGGTTGCGGCAGATGGGACAATGGCTGAAGGTTAATGGCGACGCCATCTATGGGACTCGACCCTGGACTACCCAGAATGACACAGCGACACCTGGTGTCTGGTGAGTGCAATACAGGGCACTATTTTCTCCATGCCTCTTTAGACTATTGTTGGCAATATACACATTATATTGGATAGAATGTGTACTTCCGGTATTTAGTTCGTTGGGTCGTTGACTTCGGGGGTCGTTGGGGCAGGGCCAGGTAACCTTATCCATAACCGTTAGTCAAGCGCACGGGTAGCCAAGTGGTCTGAGGTACAGTTGCCCAGGTGTTGCTCTGCTGATGTGAGTTCGAATCCCAGATTCACCTTGATCATTGATCTGTCAGTATCATCACATGACTACGTATATGGTGTACGGCTTTCACCCACTTGAAGCTGATTTAACTGAAATGTGGTCATTACTGCGTGAAACCCCCGCGGTCACTTAAGTGAAGGAAATACCACTCCTCGGTTTTGGCCCGAGGGTTTTCTCGAGCCCAGGGTTTTACATTTTCAACCTAAACCGATGAGTGTTTGATCTGTCATATAAACCACTTAAATCAAGGAAATATCAGAAGAAAAAACAACATCGGATAACCTTATAGTGAAACAATAGTGTAGTGGTATAAAAAGTGCACCATGCTGAACACCCTTTTATCACGGACTTTTTAAGCAAAATGGACATCATTGTATCTGTCTTATAAGCCAAAAGAAAAATCTAAAGCAACATCTATTAACACTTTTGTTTCGAACACACTTACCTGAAAGCAGACGTAAAATCTTGCTGGGTGAGTGAGTGAGTATAGTTTTACGCCGCTTTAAGCAATATTCCAGCAATATCACGGCGGGGGACACGAGAAATGGGCTTCACACATTGTACCCATGTCGGGAATCGAACCCGGGTCTTCGGCGTGACGAGCGAACGCTTTAACCACTAGGCTACCCGACCGCCCCAACATATCTTGCTGGAGTACGGGTACTGGAAAAAGAGATTCTCATTCTGGATTATCAGCGAAGGTTACAGGATCGGGCAACTGTTACATAAGTAACACGTGTCGTGTTGTTATCATTTCGCCCATTTCCTTAGGTTACCATGGTAATGTGAGTTATAGGGATTGTGTTTAAATGAAAAATAGCTGGGAGAGAGGGATTTTCTATAGAATGTTCCTTGGATGAGGGTCGAGCTACAGATCTAGAAAGTCCCCAATCTCATCAAAATCAGATCTTAGTGGTCGGTACTGATCTTGAGGACATCGCATTGCGGGTCACGTCAGAACGACCTTTCATCCGACCAGAACGTCCTTACCAGATCAAGAAAGAAATACTGTGTGTGTTCTGATGATCCAACCTCAAAAAGGCTAAGGACATTTTGAACGTCAGTTACGGACTGTACGACTGATTCCGTCAAAATCCTCGTCTACATGGCGTGTCAGTGGGATATACATTTGAAACGGTGGAAACTTTTCATTGTCATATTCCCGAGTCAAGGGAGTTAACTGACTATACAAGTCCAGTTTCCATTTTTATAGTCAGTTAAATCACTCGGTTGAAGCATGTCATCGATGCCAATTGCATGGATCGATGCTCATGATATCAATCACTGGATTGTCTGGTCCAGACTTGATTATTTACAGACCGCCGTCATATAGCTGGAATATTGCTGAGTAAACCAACCAACCACCCAACCTGGCCCCGCGAAGGCAGTCAACCTGGTATCATATATTTCTACTTTTCGCAAATGTCGTTTGCCACAAATCATGTTCCTGATTTGTGTACATACTAAGATGGGTAGCTCGAGACGCGTTACGGTGATATGGCTTCATGTGTTTTGTCGGTTGAACATTACCTGACATTATCGGTATAAGAACAATATCGCATCTGTTTTGCCAATTCCGTAATATTTATTTGAGATTTGTAAAAATTGAACTTTAAATTGATCTTTAAACATCCCAAATTCGAGTGTCGGTTAGTATAAAATTAATTTTGTCTCAAGGTACACGTCCAAGAAGTCTTCAACCGGTATTTCCGTGTACGCCATCGTCCTCAGCTGGCCCGTCGGATATAAACTGGAGCTAGCTGCCCCACAGCCGGGACCCGCCACCACAGTGACGTTGCTAGGATACCCAGGAAACTTTGGATTCAAAGCTGGCGCCACAAAAGGAATGACAGTCATGGTCCCAGCAATTTCAGACGATCGTATGCCTTGCAAGTGGGCCTGGGTTTTCAGACTTGATAATCTAAAAAACCAGTAGTATTGTACCGTACTTGATTTTTTATCAATTGGTCCCCAGAATATCGAATAATCGGCCCCTAAGGCTTGTCTAAGTCATATGTTTGGTTATGACATTATTTCCGAACCATTGCCAAATTTTCATCTCTTGGACTCGCTGATACTGACAATTTGCAATGGGCCAGGGATGTCAGATTTGATCCAAAAAACCCAACAGAATACTTTTTATGTAATTTGAATCATTTGGTATGTTGTAATTAGTGTTTTGCAGTAAAAGATGTATGTCTTTATGTTTTTTAATTCCTAATGTTCTTCCAGAATTGTATAATGTTTCAACTTTATATTATCTTGTTTTGTATATATTAGCTGCATTGGCATTTACTTCAAAGTCGTCATATATAAATGATTTGTGCATATAAAGAAGTAGTGTATTCCTTTAAGATTATATAAAAAATCGGGTACCATTTGCAGTAAAGAATGAGAGAGTGAGTGAGTGAGTGAGATGGGTTTAACGCCACCTTGAAGTGTTTCAGTTATACCACTGAGTGTCAGCTTTATGTGGGACGAAAGCCTATGTTATGTCTTAGACCTTCGCCACTGACACGAGCCACCGACTGTCCTGGTTTTGAGGTTTCCCACTTTATGGCATTTCAATTCGCTGTGTATGATTGCCCTCCTTAGTGGATACAGGATGTGCTGCTCGTGCTTTCGCATTCCGAATTCTGCCAGATCAGGACCACTGGTTAGTCAGCATGACCCAGACTGGAACAGTCTCTATTTATTGCATATTCTGGTCGCTTTGGGAATTTTGTTTTGAGAGAGAATATTGTTTCAACCGATGCCGAACTAGACTGGAATTCCATAGTTACATTTTGGCTGGATTAACGAGTCTATGCATGGTCCTATCAAAATCGCGTAACGAACTAGACATCCGGTTCGTAAACAACATTGATTTCAATATGTAGATTTCGGTCGACTACGGTATTTGCAAACAAGTGTACCGTCAACAGGGCGTCGACAGACATTTTCCAAATGTTTTCATGTTTTTAAACAAGGTGCTAATGTGATTTGATGCACTTCGCGAGGTAAGACCCGTTCTATTTTAAAATATATCTCGATTATCGATCAGATCGTCCTGACGCCGCCGTTTTGTTTGAAGAATAAGCAAGTGATGTGAGAAGTGGAATATGATTGGTCAATAGGAGGGACATAGAACGGACATAACTCGTAATGGCCACTGGTGGCTCTACGATCGAGCCCAGAAATTACAGCCTCGTTCTGCAAGGGTGGAAAGTGGACTTTTAGTCAGTTAACTCCCTTGCTTGGGTACATGGGTGTATGGTGTATGGTGGAAATCCTGGTATGTTTTGTCACCCCATCATATTTACGTCTGGTGCGAATAGGTACAGTATATGGCTCTGTGCATGTTGTCTTGACTTTGTCTGTACACGTGAAGGTTTCCAGAGTCCGCTTGTAATGGCCTTCCTTTCTGGTGTTGAACATGCAGCCTTTTTGTCGAATGTCTCCATATACTTCAAATACGGCAACTTTTACATTCTGCATCAGTCCACTCGATGTTCCCTGAGAGTCTCAGTCCTTTTTTATTGACCAGTATGTTTGTAAACCGTAGTATCTTCTTCTTCAATGCGGGGGCACGGGTGGCCCATTCGTCTAAGGCGCCGCGATTCGCTGTGTAGACTTGCGTCCCTTGGGCACGCCAGAAACCTATGATTGTGGGTTCGAATCCCGGTTCGCCCCGATTATGTTTCTAGGTTTGTCAGCACCATACCCGTGCTCGTGGGTTTCACCAAAGTGGTAAACGTCTGGGACCTGCATCACTTCGGGCTTTCCTCCCACATTAAGCTGACACGCCGTGATATAACTGGAATACTGTTAAAAGCGGCGTTAAACCCAACTCACTCACTCACTCACTCTTCTTCAATGCACGAGCCAAGTACCGTGATAAATGCCTTCTTCATGCCTTCTGCCATGTTGACATGCCATTTGATGCAGTCCAGATTCAAAACAGCTCTGATGTAAGACAATTCACAACATCAGTGAGATGTTTCTGTTGGCGCTTTTTCTCCTCCTCCGCCTCGTCAGAAACAACACTTTGTACCTGACATTTCATTCTCCTTACTGTAAAACTTTGTCGATCAGATCGTCCTAACTGGACGCCGCCATTTTGTTTGAAGCAAACGCAAGTGATGTGAGAGGCGGAATATGATTGGTCAGTAGGAGGGACATAGAAGGGATATAACTCGTAATAGCCACTGGTGGCGCTACGATCGAGCCTAGAAATTTCAGCCTACTCGGCAAGGGTGGAAACTGGACTTTCCCTTGTCCCGGGAAGATGGGGCTTCAAGACACAGGCATTTTTATTCTGGAAGGGGAAGCCACACAGTGTTTTGTGATCAACATCACACTTTTTTTCATGAAATCCAACTTTATCTTTGTATTAGTAAAACCTTACAAATTGTATTTCGACATCCTCGGGAAAAGATGATATTTCTCACTTACAATACCATTTGTTTAAAGTTGAATCTGTTCATGAACATTTACGTGATGCGCTACTGAAAAACAATATGGGAACTAATTATTGAATGTAGGTTTGTTTGTTTGTTGTTTAACGCAGCACTCAGCAATATTCCAGCTATATGACGGCGGTCTGTAAATAATCGAGTCTGGACCAGACTATTGGGATCGATGACATGCCTGATCCCCCAATCCCGTTAGTCGCCTCTTTCGACAAGCATAGTCGCCTTTTACGGCAAGTATGGGTTGCTGAAGACCTATTCTACCCCGGATCTTCACGGGTATCTGGTCTACATTTACAATACCGTGGCGTTGTATCTAATCGCAACGATGCAACGACGCACGATGACATTTCACATTATGCATGAACAGCACGTGATGCATGTGCACAGGAGTCAAAGTGTGTAGGGGAACTCACAATCACTAATGCATGAGATAAGCACATGCACACTTAAAAATGCAACCGAGACTATCTCAATGAACAGACGAAATAGCGAATTGTTGGCACGAGAGGGTAGGGTCGGGGGGACTTCAATATCTCAGGTTGCCCGAATATTTGGCAAACCAAAATGTGTCATGTCGACAAGTACCGTCAAACGAGTGGGGTTTCAATCAGATCTGGCGTGGCAGGCCTAAAAACAACACCAATATAGATCGTCTCATCACATTTAAATCTGCCTTTTATCAATAGAGAGTTCCGTACAATAACAGGAAGGGCGAAACCGGATCTATTCAGTCCACCTGAAAGCAAATGGCAGAAAAAAAACATTGTTGGAGACATTGTCTGTCTGTTTGTTTGTTTGTTTGTTTGTTTGGTGTTTAACGCCGCACTCAGCAATATTCCAGTTATATGACGGCGGTCTGTAAATATACGAGCCTGGACCAGACAATCCAGTGATTGGTATCATGAGCATCGACCCATGCAATTGGGATACGATGACATGCATCAAGTCAGCGAGGCTGACCACCCGATCTTATTAGTCGCCTCCGATGACAAGCATAGGTCGCTGAAGACCTATTCTAACCCGGATCTTTACTGATTGTTGGCGACGTAGAGGCGAGGACAACAATTCTTGACCATAATGGTATGGGGGCGGTATTGTCATTGGGTGGGGCGGTATCACACGTGACAGGCGAATTGATTAGGTAATTGTGAATGGACGAAATGTTGACGAAATTCGGGCGGAAATTGACCAGAGACCCAGCACCCGTCAACGTGGTCCCGCTTGGGGCAGCTTTTCAGGCGGGATAGCGGGCAATATCAAGGACATCGATACGCAAGTTAATCAACAGGACGTCATCAAGGTGTCGTGCATTTATCGCCCAGCACAGTGCACACACCAGATATTGATGGACACGCCTGAAATTTATTGTATAGTCATTACACTTCACTATCACTTCATCATTTCCATCCACTGGGCACGCCAGAAACCTATGATTGTGGGTTCGAGTCCCGGTTCGCCCCGATTATGTTTCTAGGTTTGTCAGCACCATAACCGTGCTCGTGGGTTTCACCGAAGTGGTAAACGTCTGAGATCTGCATCACTTCGGGCTTTCCTCCCTCATTAAGCTGACACGCCTTGATATAACTGGAATACTGTTAAAAGCGGCGGTAAACCCTACTCACTTACTCACTCACTCATCATTTCCATCAGGTTTTGTCGGTAGTATATTTAATCGATAATGGCGCTAAGACATCCCTGACAGGTGCTATAAGCGCTGAAATACAAAGCGTCTTAAAAACAGCACTATAGCAGTCTCCTTAATACTCTCAATGCAAATCCCGACCCCATTCGACACTGTGTCACTTGCCGTGTTGCTACTGTCGAACCCATTCGACAGGCGAATAGCATGACGACGCCCTAAATTAAAACTCGCACTATTATATAAACTATTATCAAAGTAGGTTTTACGTGTCATTTAAGTTATATATGGTATGTACATGAAAAAGAAAATCCCGAAGATAAAAAAGTATCGGTCAAATGTCTCGGCACACAACCACCCGTAACGGCCGTTGTTGACTTGAGGCACTACGTGTCCAGTGGCATGTGGTCCGATAGTTTCTTTATAATGTTGGGTACAATGTGTGAAGCCCATTTCTGGTGTCCCCCGCCGTGATATTGCTGGAATATTGCTAAAAGCGGCGTAAAACCATACTCACTCACTCACTCACTTTATAATGTAATTATTTTTTTCATTTGATCATAATTTTTGTTTCTTTGACGAAAGGAAACACTTTCTTAATTTCTTAAAAGAAGCAACTTACGTTTTATTTTATTATAAACAAAAACAATCTGAATCGTTACTGTACATCATCGATTGGATGAAACGGCGGTAAACTCCACATGCATCGTGATCCCGCAATACTATTACAATCCTTTAGTTATATCTAACTTAATTTTCTAAATGTATACGTCTTTGTAAAAATTATCTCATATTTATCGAGTTGGTAGATGATTTCGTTAGATAAACATTCGGACATTGACAAGCTGCTTACAGTGTAGATGACATGTACAAGTGACGGAGTGGCCAAACTCGCGGTTTTATTTAGTTGAGCAAACACTCCTAACAGTTGAAAATATGTGCTCATACGCAAAATCTGAACTTATTTACATTCGGACAAAACGATTCAATAGCAAAAGAATGCAGATCATGAAATCTTATCACATTATTTGTAATTTTTATCCATCATTGCTGAAACCCGAAGCACGTACAGCATCCCACACATCGAGGAAAAATATGCAAAAGTCGGTAAACTACCATCGAGAATACCGGAATAGATTCAAATTCCAGCCAAATTCGAAGGAAATGACCCACATAACTATACGCATGCACAAAAGTTAAGCGCCACCCACCATATTTGTGAGCTGTTACTTTTGGC